TCAAGGTGGGAGTAAAGTAAGAGTCTGTATCATTCTCCTGATAACTTTTAAGAAAGAGTTGAGGTAGATAGTGCTCTGTTACTCTGGAGTTGTTGGCTTCATAGGCCCTGGTCTCTGTAATCCTCACGGGGCAAGTGCTGCCAGAATACTTGCTGCTGAAAGGAAAACCCGAGCTGCCATCCAAAAAATTAAAGTGCAGATCCAGAAAGTACATACTGGGAGATGGACCCGGTGTTCCTAATTACTTAAGCGCCTTTGTTCCCAAACTTGTACAGCTGCTCTGAAATAGAACTGTGAATTTTTACATGTAGGTGGTGAGGGTATCACCCTAATGGTGTTGCTCTGCTGTCTCAACAGCTAGTGTTTGTCGTCATAATGCAAAGGTCTGCTTGGTTCCTGGAAAGGAGCAGATGTCCTTTCCTTTTCTGTTCCTACTGCCGTGAGCTATTCCTGTTCCAGGAAAGAGTACAGGGAAGGTGTTCCCCCAGGGTCAGGCTTCTACAGTTGTGGGGTATTTGTTTTTCACCCTGCTCTCAAGGCTACAAATAATAGTGGAAGGGGACAGAACAGGAAACCTCCAAATCTGAGTGCCCCTTTCAGCACGTGGGTTATTCAGTTATATCCCTGCTACGCTATGTAATTTCTCTCAGATAACCCTTTTAATAAGTATATTTAGTCTGTTTTTGAACCACTTGTTTTGCCTTTTTTCCCCCACTGGAGCCTACTTCGGCATTTCACTCCTGTAATAATTTGAAAACTTTCCAGCCTATATTTCCTTCTGGTTAGTTGATGCCTTACTCTTACACAAATGTCAACACTGGCCTTTCACTTAAATAATTTTTTTCCTTCCTTGGCTTTTGCTCTCTTGTTGTATTTTATGGGCAGCAGTTCTGCCATTTCACAATTGATCTTTGTCAGCTAGAGAGACCTGGTTCTTTTGGTAGTATTTTGTGTGATAGGCTCACCAGTCTTCTGATCATCTTAGGGATGGGTGCTACTCTTCCAGTTTGAATTTGCATTGATCAGGATCGGAATTGAATTCAGCATTCAGATGGGGTCTCACATCCAGGTGATGTTGGGGAAAAAAAAGTCCAACATTCATCCTATATGTCTTAATATTAGTCTCTTCACAGCTGCACTGCAGTTACGCTGTCATTTATTAACACACTCATCATCTTCCCCTCAGCCAGCTTTGAAGGTTAGCCCACCCAGTGAAAGCAAAAACTGTTGTTAATACAGGGTAGGTGTATCTCATCTCTATTACTGTGGTCCCACAAATAAGTTTTGCTATATCTGTTGGTTGACCTCTGATGATTTCTGAATTTTAATTGGAAAAATATCTTGAGAACACTCTGACTTCTTGTGTCAGGGTCATTAAAAATACTAAAAGGCATGGATCCCAGGATATATAGAGGAACGTTTTTAATAGTAACCCTCAGCTTGATGCCTCCCAGTTTTGCACATTATTGATGCTGTCCTTTGGCCAGTTCTGTACCACCTTAGGACTTTCATACTAACTCCCATCTTCTGCATCATAAGTGATAATTTCTCATGTGGCACCATATGATATCCTTTGTCCAGAAAATAGGCTTTCAAGAAAATATCAGGTTTTTTTGATTGATCTATTTTTATGAAACGCGCGCTGCTGCGGTTTTTTCTAGTCATGTTTTCCTCCATATCTTTAGTCTTTACTTTTGTGTATTTAAATATTCTGCTTGATGGGGTTATAATTTTTCAGATCTCTTTTTCTGCTTCACGTAGGTTTTGCGTTTGTTATTTTTAAGCCGATGGTACTATCCTTGTTTTCATAACATAGGTTTTAGTTACGTATAGATCCAGCAAGAAAAATTACATTCTTTCAGAATCCAGGCTGAATATGGTTCAGCTTCCCTGTGGCCCCTTGGTCCAGGTCTAGTGCATATTGGGTAACTTCTGTTTTCATCATTTCATTCTTTAAGTTGTTTTTTTGCTCCTGTATTAAGTATTATTAAAACCAAGGCAAAATATTCAGTTGTGTTTGGGACATAGATTTGTTAGTTTTCACATCTTGGTTGATTTATACTATGTCCACTTGTTTTCTCCTTGTTCGCTTTATTTGTGACTAAAGTCTTGACTGATTTCTGATCCCTTTTCCTGTTCTTTTACAGTGCTCTACGTATTTCTCAGCCCTCTTTGAAACCTATCTGCTTGTGTCAGAAGTTCTGTCCTCTTTTTTTTTTTTTTTTCCCTTGCTTTAGGATACAGATGAGTTTTGCTCCTTTTGACGTAATGAAATTCCAAGATCTTTTCTGATCTGAGTCCACCAGCTCTTTGGTTTATCTCACTGCTAGTTTTCTTCATTTCTAAAAGGCTGCTTTTCTAAAATAGAAAACCTTAGTTAGAGACCTTATTTGGTTTATCCTGCCATTAATTGAAATTGAATAATTCATGATTGCTCAGACTGAGATTTCATTGTTATTTGTTTTTTTGAGTCTAATTTTGATGCCTACCCCTGCTGCTGGCATTTAGATTGCTCATGTAGCAACAGAATGAAATTGACATTATTCTTCATGTCTTTGCTACATGGAGAATTCACAAATGCGGCAGTGAAGGTAGTAAAGCTTCTAGTAAAGCTTTAAGCACTAAGATGAATTAATAGCATTGTGGATTACTGCCAGGTAAGGAGACTAAAATGGCATCTCTTCACGTTGAGAAAATTATTTTTGCAACTCCTAAGTCCAAAATGTTGTTCTGTCTGGAAGCTTGCACTCAGCAGAAGTTAATACTGTCCATTGCCCTGCATAGGGAACTCTTCTTGTTTTGATGACAATTAAAGGGTTTTTTCAAGGCCTGCCTTTTTCATTGGTTACATATGCTGCTACAGTTTTAGGATGGCATGTAACAAACAGATGCCATAGGGGGTTGTGGATCAGTAGAATTCTCTTCCTTTCCATGAGATGAATTCAGTGACTTCTTTATGGCTCTTAGTGATATCCCAACAATAGGGTTGGTACACATTTTCCATCCTTCTGGGAACTGCAGCAGGGAAGTCCAGGGTAACACTGTCCTAGACATTTATCATAGTCCTCCTGGTTGGTTGTAAAATCAGTTAATTGCAGCATCCCTCTTCCTTAGCTGATCCATAGATAATACTACTACTGTTTTTAAAATGGTCCATCATCCTGCCGAACAGTTTGCAGTCAGATAAGAGCTTCAATTTGTCTCATAAGTGTTATGCAGCTCCATGCATTGCATATTACAAAACAGATTTAATGAACTGCAGATATACATGTGTCGTTCATTTTTGGAGCTGGTTTAAAGTTACGTGAACATGTAGATTTGGTGTTCCAACCCAGGCAATGAATTGTGCAGTTTATCTAAAGGGTAGTAGAAGCACAAGTTTCCACATGTGCTATCTCGCCCCACATGCTGATTTGTAAGAATTTATTTTCTTTTACAGGATAGCCAGAATAAATGGCGCCTGATGGTTGCAGTTTTGCCCTCTCCAATGTCTTCAAACCTCTCACTTTTCATTTCAGTAAATAGGCAAATACTGGTTGCCTTCTCTAAGGTGAAAGGCATGAAAGCCCTGCTAAAAATGATTGTCAATTCTACAAAAATGACAAGAAGAAAATTCAGAACTAAGCTAATATGACTTGTAGTATGTAGTTTGGGGTATCTTGCCCTGTATGAATGAAATCTGTCTCTTTCACTCACTCCTGTTCACACTTACAACTGCACGAGTGTCATATAAGCTGTTTAATGCTTGACAGTCTGTTTCGATTGGGATGTCTATTATTCTGGCACTTTTCTTGCAGATTTGAAGCCCTCATTTACATGGAGAAAAACCCCTTCTTTTCCTCCTCAAATATTTATGAGTAGAAGCACTGTTTTTTAGCTTATACTGTATCTATAATAATCTATCACACATTGGTTTCTGTTATTTCTTTCACCTGAGGCTGTTTTTCTGCTGTTTATATAGTTTTCTTTTAGATCCAGTTAGTATTTCTCAAATAAAATGTTCATTTGGGAGTAGGAGACTGTAACCAAAGCACTTATTTTAATTCCTGTCACTCTCGTCCTTTGTCTTTCTACCTGGCAATTGAAAGTCTGAACACTTTCTCCAGCAACCTTATGTTGGAAGAGACAACCTCATATTTATTATACCACGATAAAAAGTGAGCAGTAGAACTGAAGTGAAAGGTGACAATTCTCTGTCTGGGTAATAGAATAAAACCACGTGGCTTGGAGAAAATAGCAAATAGTTTTGCAATGAGTTGTGTACATCCTTGCAGTGAAAACACAAGTAAGACCGTCTGATGTTCATCAGAGCTTTAAAAACGTATCAGCTTCTTCTTACTTAAAGAAGAATTGTCCGGAGAAAGTTGAGAGATTACTAGCAGTATCTGGCAGCCTAATGAGGAGCCTTCCCTGCCCTGAATACCCTCCAAGGTTGCCAAACTTCTCAGATAAAACTTCATGTGCCACGTGTCTGATAGTAACGGAACAACAGTTGCTTTTTCTCGTTTACATATTAGAACGCAAAGTTAATATGATATTTGCAAATAAACTTGCCCTTTTTGGTGGCTGGACAGAGTATGGATATCTAAGCATGTACATTTACCAGCTTCATTCTCTCTGTGGCTAGACTAAAATTTGGATGGGGTTTTGTGCCTTGGCATCATGCAGACTGCATTTTACATAACTCTTCATATAGAATCTGATGTGACCCTTGAAGATTGACTCTCATATAGTCAGCGCATGCCTTTAACTCTATTAACCTGGGATTGGGATACCAGTTTTCAGTTTTGGTTGAAGAAAATGGAGTATGTTTACTTACAGTATTTGGTCCTGATTATTTTAAAATGGTGACTGTTTTTCCTGGTCAGTCTGTACAAACAGAATTGCTTTAGAAAAGAATTTTTTTCACTCTGTTATAATCTGACTCTCAGAAATCAACCATTTCAGCCTTGACCATTTCATTTTTATATTGAAAACAGACGTTACTTCTATAACTAAAGTGCAGTTTGTTTTAATGAATGTGTTACTCTTACAGATAACTTGCCCTGGAGTGCTGCTGAAAGACAAAGAGGAACTTTATCTCAGTGTCTCTGTACTTGGACAGTACAAAAAAACTCAATGCGTCCCTGCAGTGTTTCCACTCTTCTTTCAAGAAAAACTAGTATTTGAAAAGGTAAGATAATGTCAAGAGTTAACACAAGTCAAACAAAACCCATCCCAAACTCCACAAAAACTCACTGCAAAACCCCTGAGCACAAGTAATCCCACTGACGATGGCATAGCATTGTAACTCCTGCTTCTCCTCAGCACAAAGGAGGTGTGTGCCTATATTATCCACACGGTGACTCAAGAACTATGCATCCTGAAGATTATAATGTATGATGAGGCTTTTTAGGTGTTTGTTAATTCTTTTGTGAACTGTCCTTTTTCAGTGTCTGTTTTCCTGCCTTGGAAGGAACTGAATGTTGTTCTAAAAATTATGGCAAGGTGAAGAACAAAGACTATAATATATAGGAGAGTCAACTTAATTTAGTAGAAAGATAGAATAGCAGCTCAAGCCTTTTTGGTGACGTTTCTCCCTTTGAGATACTTTCTTCATGGTTTGTCACCAGAATTCCCAGGTTGGTACTCTGGCCTTATAATTTATAGTTGTTTATCACATATTCTGAGTCCCTAGTAGCTTCATTATTAGTACCACAGGGATAATGAAACACAGTATCTTACAGATATGATCTGGCTTCTTGACTACCTATGAATAATAATACTTTGCCCTTTCTAGTTCTTTTCCTTTAAGCATCCCCCAGCACTTTGAAAACCAGACTGAGTAAACATCAATGATGCTCTGGTGATGTGGGTAAGATACAAACAGTGATAATTTCACCAGCTACTGAAGAATAAAAAAGACCGTAGTTCTTTAAAGGCAAACATGCCACAAACTACTTAAGGGAAATGTACTGAATACTGTTTTCATTGTAATTTAGGGGAACTCCAAGACACCAGGATCTATCTGCTTACAAAAGAGGTGAACAAGGAAGCTGAGAATAATGTCTGTCTTCTTACAAATAGCTGTTGAATAGGTCTAGATATTTGTGGAGCACCGGTTCTTTGGTATTTTTTAGTGTTTGGTACGCTGAACAGCAAAGTGATCTGCACCACTCTGCTGAGATTTTTGTACATAATTAGGGAGAAGTCTGTTAGCTGCTGAATATCCAGTGCAACGTCCTCCCCTATTCCTTGCCATCTATTCACATGGGATTCAGGTTAAAAAAAACCCTGTACTTTGTACATGAATAGTCACTTCCGTGAAAATGAAGCTTAAAGCATTACTAATATATTAAAGAACATACTCTTCATCTATCAGAATTCTAGTACATTTAGCAATTTATCTTTCTCTCTTTAAATTTTCTCAGACAATACTTATCTCTACATGTTCAACTCTTCACGATACCTCCTAATTTTAATACGGAGAGGTAACCCTAAATGGCTAGAAAGCATATGACAAGAACTGCTAGCTTTCAATGACTTTGATCCTGTGCCAAATGATAATTTCCATTTCCTTTCTTTTTCCAGTGGGGATAGGACTCTTGGCAACCATCTGAAGCAAGGAAGAATATTGATTTCTTTTTTTTTCTTTCCTTCTCTTTCCCCAGAGGTCCATCTGATGACTTTGACTTTGTTATTATTATTTATTAATTTCTTTTCCAGGCATTTGCTGATATAGTTGATCCTGGAGACCTTGTGGAGTTACTGGAACGTAGGTTCTGCTTTTTATGTATACTACGTTGTGTGCATTAATGTCATGCATGTATGGGCTCAAAAGACTTTTTGGAGGTTTAAAGTATGTGATAATTTTTCTATCAGGAGCCTGTTCCCTGAAAAGCTAGTGGTAACCAATGTAGTATATCATGTACTAAATAAATAGGACTCTAGCACTAGTGGGTTTTCAGAATAGAAGATTTGTTGTCAATGCAGGCAGAGGTTTTTTTGCTGTCTTTTGGTTACTAGTAACTTACCCAAAATACTGTTAACTAACAAAATGCCTCTAGAAACGTATGCTACATGCTTTAGAACAAGAAAAGGGTTAAAAGTCATAATTAATGGAAAATCCAGCTAGTTATCCAGATAGGTAATGGATTCCTTTATCTGATCATTTATTTGATTAATTTTCAAATAATAAAAGCATAAACCTTTGATTTTTATAAAATTATTCTTTTCATTTTTTAAGAAAATTAAATGTCTTGCCGCATGTGGAGCATAACAATTGTAGTGAGACAACACTGACCCTGAACTCAAACGCCAGGAATATGCTCCCTCATACTGGGAGTTATCTGAAAAAGTGGCAAAGCTTGCATCATGTTCTTTAAAAACTATCTTCAAAAGACAAACTTGGCAGCAGATAGAACTTCCCAAGTTCTAAGTCAAATTTAGAGTCGTCATTTGTACACTGCTAATGCCATTGTGTTAATCTGTGGTATTTATGCAAGCTGTTCTTAATTTTCTCTTATTGTTGGTGTAGTGGAAACAGTGTAGCTATGTACAGTGCTATGAAGCTTAAATCAATGAGCCGTTTTTCTTAGGTTTTGACTATGAGAATTACTTTCCATTTCAGTCTTTTTTTAACTCATGAAAAAACTTTTTTCTTTTCTAGTTGACACAGCAGTACTTGAACTCATACAGCTCATTCCTCCAGGTATTGTATCAGTCTCTTCATAAATTATGCAGTTTAATAGGTGAATTTCCATGAGGACATTGCCCATTACAGCACAATCATTTTTTCCAACACACAAACAACATAGAAAGCTCTTCAACAAATAGTCCTCTGAATATAAAATGTTAATAGATCAAGAGGATCTCATTCTTGAAAGAGTAATAACTAAATATTGAAATGTTCCGTACTCAGGCTTAGGAAAGTGATAATATTTTAAAAATGGAAAATAAACTGAAATCATCCAGTGCACACTTATTAACTGCATCACAATTCACTTGCAAAGTGGCTGTCTGTGAAATTTCAGAGTGCATAATCTTGTTCTCAGAATGACACTTTTTTCCCTTCCATTTTAATGGTAACCATTGGGAAAACTGTTATCCTCACTATAAGTATTACAGGTCTCTCCGGATATGTGAAGATAATAAATAGCGATTTGTCATACTTCTGTTATTGGTTTGTGTGATTATAAAAATCTATTTTAATGAAATTCAAGTGTTCCCATGAATAATGTAAATCTGCACATTTTGTTGGAAATAAACTCAAGTTTTAAAGAGGACTCATTTGGAAACTGTGGTATTAAAAGCACTCTCTGTCACTTGTCCTTAGTACTTTCAAGGAAACGATTGCTTCTTTCAGGTGACTCACCAGACTGTTTACTTAAAGAAATATAGTGAACGTGGATTTTTGTTGTGGGAGGGTAAAAGATCTTGGATAAGAAATTTAATTTCAGGGGTCAGAGATAGGTGTGATACAGCCCAACATGAGCTGACAAGATGACTGCAATTAGCAATTTAAATTTTTTTATAATATACATTCAAGGTTTTCCCTGAAAGAAAATATTTTTTTTAAAAAGTAGGAAACTTGAGATAATGATTTTGATGTTGCTTGCGTTTCTTTCTTACTACTATGCTTACTGTTGCTACTGCTATTACTATTCTGTAATATGGAATGATACAGTTTTTCATAAGGGATTGGCTACCATTAAAAAAAATACTGGTTTCTTCTGTGGCATGGAAGGGAAAGAAAGAGGAAAACTAGAAGAATTGCCTAGAGAAAACTTCTCATAAGTCTCTTAAGATTGTGTTAACTGTTCTATAATTTTTTTTACAGTAACAGTGAAACATACTTTCAGAGTAGATTCTGCAAATTTCTGCTGCTGATTTAACTTGATGAGGTTATTTCCTAGAGTGATATGAGTTTTAGAGCCATGCTGTTAATTTTTAAAGAACAAAATTTGTCTTAGTTTCAGTACGGTCTTGTGTGTGGTGTCTGTACTATATGGCTTTGTCTATTTTCCAATTAAAGTCTGTATTTTCTTTTTAGTAGGAAAAATTCTAGCTACCTATGAAGAAAATACAAGAGATTTCCTGTTCCCTGACCCTAAGCTTACCTGTGGGCACCATGGTTCAGATCGTGAGATTTTAATGAAGAGATCCTCTTCTTTTACAGTGAGTGAATATCTGTGGATTGTATTTATGATACAGTGTGTTTCACTGAAGAAACCCCTTGAGCTACTTCAAATGAAAAGTGATTACTTCTGACAGATTTTGCCATTTCAGGTGTTGAATGTACAAATCCACAGCTGAACTTTGGTGAAAGTATAATCTTTTTTGAAAATGCTTCAAGAAATTATTTAATGTGAAAAAGTTAGTTTCCACTTGGTTTGCTGTGTGGCACCATGACATGTCTTCTGTTCAATTTAATCTGTGATGCAGTTGGTAGTTGAAGGGATGCAAGAAAAGAGGGAGATGTCGTATCAACTTCATGGTTCTCAACAGATAAACCATGTAACCCTCCCTCCTTGTTTCAGACCGTTTTTGGTACTGTTTAGGGCAATGATAGTCAGTACAAATTGATAGTGCTATGCCATCTGACCCATGGGCCTCCGTGAGATGCAAGATCACCACTAAAATAGTAAGTAACTGAAATTTGGCTTAGTTGTTTTTCAGTTCCAAAGTCTGTTTCTTAAGGTCTGTTCAGGCTATTCGCGCACATTTAGTAACTTGCCTTTTCTACAGTTTCAAAAAAGCTATGATAAATGACAACTAATTGGCAGAATAAGTGCAATGAATTAATGTTAATTTTATGGAGATAAGGGCTCAAATACATAGTAAATGAAAATGAATTTATCTCATATGTCCCTTTTATAGAGTTTGACTGTTGAACCTTAGGTGTCAGTGGAATAACTCAGGAAGGCACTTTGAAGATGATGGTGATGATGTGGGATATGTGTTTTGGGGTTTGTTTTGTTTGTCTTATTTTTGTTAAATTTTACTAGTAGAGTGGCAGGACATTTGGATTGGGAAGAGAGGGACTCAGTTGCCCTGTCCGTTGTGTTTTGATTAAAAACACATGGCACTAGGAAAATTCTGATTAAAGGTCATTGGTATCTTTTAGCTGGTATAATCTTTACCCTGCAAGGGCAACCTGGAAATGCCCAGTCACTTCACTTGCAATTAGAAGTGCTAATTTGGTGTCTAATACTGTGTTACATTTGAATGAATTAAAGCTGTGATTTTGTGGTACAAAATGTATGGTTCTGCAGCAGCTTAAACTATCACTGCAAAAATAGCCATCATTTTTTGGTCATAGCATCTCTTTGATATGGCTTATCCTATGCACATTGGTGGTGGCTCAAGAGAGGGGGTAGGACTGTATTGCTTTCATATTACTTATAGAATAGGTACTTTTCTGGTGTTGAGAAAGAATAGATAGGGAGGTAGTAATAAATGAGGTGGTATTAGCAAAATGATTTCAGATTTTTTGCGAATGCAATATAATGAATCTTTGTAGAAGCAGAGCCACTAGAGAAGTTTGAGTTTTTTTGTTGGACTGATTTCTTTAATACAAAAATTATGTATTTTCTAATAAAGAGAAGGTGCCATAATTTGTGAGCTGTGAGAAAATGTGATCAGAGTCATTTGGATTTGTAGCTGAATGATGATACTGTAGTAGCTTTAAAAAGTTGACTGATGTAAGATAGAAATGTATTTCCATGTCCTTGGGAACAGTGTAAATTAAATCCATCTCTGCCCTGGAACGAGGACTGCAGAAGCATCTGTTGCTCCGTTCCATCTCCATCACAGACAGAACAGTTCAAGAAAGGATTTTGGCATACTGACCTCATTTTCAGGAATAATAAAGAAGCTGTGTTTGATGGAATTGGAGGGAGGCTCCCCGCAAGAACTTGTGGTTCCTCTCCTTGCTTGCCAAATGAGATAGCTGAGAGAGGATTTTTACCTCCAGTAGAAATGCAGTCTCAAATGCTCCCATCTTCTAGTGTTCCCTAAGCTTTACTGGCAAGTATCTCCTGCTAACTCTGTCAGCACCAAGCACTGAATGTGAATGCTAAGCAAAAGGGAAAGTGTTACACAAGGTTTTGAGAGCCCTCACATTATTCCTATGCTAGTCAAGCCATGTTCTTCCCACATGAAAAGTTATTTATAGCTAGCTGACATGTTGAGTATTTTTGACTGACAGCTGTGCTTCAGTGGCACTTTGACTCCCAATAAACTTGTCTTTTATTAAAAAAATAAAGGTAGCAACAGCAAGGTTACGGTTGTGGAGTTCAGATAGGCAGTGACAAGCAGTGTCTGATTAACACTGCTAATCTGCCAGTTGGAAGGAATCCCAAGTTGAGAGGATCAGAACTCCTCCAGAAATCTGGCACTTGGCTGATAATGTCTCTGGCTCAATGTCTGATAAGGCTTACAAACACAATACTCATACAAGATGTGCCTCAAGTTATCTCTCCTGGTCCAGTGTTGCCCAGCTGAGGCTTTTGCTGGCTCTTCTGTATTTCTCTGCAACCCTTGCCTTTCAGAATTTGCTTAAGCCTTGACTGTTGGTGACTTCTTACAGATCTTCTTATCTTCATTCCCCATCCTCGTGCAGTATTTGCCATGTTACTTAAAATGTTTTCTTTTTAGTTATGCTATCTTTCATTAGCATACCAATACAAGACCTTCTATTATGTTCAGATATACTTTTTTAAGCTACAGACTTGTACTCATGCTCCTTACAGTCAAAAGCACGTATTAGACTTGTTTTCTAACTGGGGTTCTTCTAAATATGAACCACCATTACAGTTTTTCTATGATCAAATTAAAATTATGTCCATATCACTTCTGTTTAATGACTGGTACAGAAGGACTGACAAGCCTGCTCAGGGCTGCAGACACCACGAAGCCGGAGGCAGAGGAATAGATCCCAAAAACTTTCTGGCTGGATTTTCATTTCCAGATATGTTTGGGGCCATACGGCAGTCTTTACATATTACTATATTGAATATCCTTCAGCAATCCCTAGTTTGGGAGCTGCAGAAGAACAACTCCTCTGTTTGCTTTTGGCCTATAAGTTACTTTTGACATAGCCGTGCCTATGTATGCGAGTGCCATTCCGTATTCCGTCTCCACAAGCCATTTCTCTGAAGAAACCATGGGTTTGTGTGATTTTTTAGCTATAAGCATTTAACAATTCTGTAATCATTCTCAGTCTCTGTAAGAGCAGTAGGTGCTCTGTTGTTGCTTTTTATAGAAGACTTACTAATTCTAATGTGTCCTTTTTTAAATTGTTGATAGCACTTGACAATTCATTAGTAATAAAAATGAGTTGATTAAAGACGGTCAGCTTTAAAATCTCTTTTATATGCCATAACTTGGCTTGATTGAATCCTGGACTCTGTTAATTGCTATGACTGAGCTTTCTTGGCATTTTTGTCATTTCATTTCCATAATCTAACCTGGGGCCAGATCATATTCCCTTATGGGAAATCAGTTTCTATTTAGGCAGGTGGTAGAGAAAAGTTTGGTTAAGCAGTCGACTTAATCAGCAGTAGACTTCACTCATGAAGTTCCTGCTAATTCTTAAGAATGCGAGGCAGAGTCACACACAGACCAGCTCCTTTTTATTCCTCAGTGATTTTGTGTGTTCCTGTGCACAAATGCCCATGCACACAGATGCCTTGGGGCAGCAAACTCTGTCCATGTTGAAAGGAGAGAGGGTAGAAAGTTTTAAGGACACTTGATTCTCTCCTTCCTTCTACAGAGCTGTATAAGATGCACATAGATGATTCCCACTTTTTTATAGCATATGTGGCCTTCAGTTCTTCTTTTTGTTGCTGTCTTTTTTTCATGTTGCTGTTTCGGGAAATAATGCTTGTGTGTCATAATCTCTGCCATCTACACCCAGCAAATTTTGTATATTTGTATTAGGCAATTCTAGCTAAATTTGACAGGAAGTAGAGCTCTCAAAGGTATTATGTTTCTAGGCACAGCTGAAGTAAAAGAAGATGAGTTGAAAAGGAACTGTTAGCCATGTAAAGATGGCTGGCCATTAGTACATGTGTGCTGGTTGACCACATGGCTGGCTGCCTCTTGCCAGTCACATGTGTGAGAGGGGATTGAGAGGAAGTGGAACATGGTTATAGAACATGGGAGACAATCCACAGAAGTCGGACTTTGCTGTAATGGTTACAGAATAAAGGGGATTCTTAATCATACTGTTACAAATGAATAATTATTTGCAGTGTAATTGACTAATTTTCAAAATGTTTTTACAAAAAAGATTGCACAATTGAGACTATTTCTAAATAAGTTTCCAAAGTTAGCATTAATGAAACTTCTAGAGCATGACTGGAATTTTTATTGATGCTATATAGCATGGCATGAAAAATCTTTAAAAGTGCTTTTGACAAAGAAATGTATTGAAATAAAAGTCAGACCTTAATTGTTGTACGAAAGCAATATAATCATCTGTAATTGAATTGTCAGAAATGCAAATGTTAGCATCTTGACATTTACCATTGCTGTTCTGTCTTTTCTAATTATCTTTATTAAAGGCTGAAATTAACAAAGGAAATGGCTGAAAATTAGGAATGGTTTGTTACATTAGGTGACATTTACTTCTTTGATAGCCTTTATCTTGAGTTGGAGCTTGATGTTCAATTATTGTCTCTCTTCTAGGGAATTGCACCAAAATTGAGATTTTCTACAAGCTCCCTTATTACAGAAAGTCTGTTAAGCTCAGGAAGGAGTCACATACAGGTTAGCATAATTTAATTGTTTGCAATTTAATTTCTAGATTTAATATTGATAGCCTTGGTTCCAATTTTTGCATGTGCTGCTCACTTCAAACTTTTCTCATTCTTTTGTTGTGGTTAAAGCAGTTGTCATGGGTGCTTGACAACTTGATTAAATTTTTAATCAAGTATGAGTAAAGAGTGGGCTTGGTGCATGACAGTAAACGCTGAGAGTTCCTTGAATCTGAAACAATTATCAGCTGCTATGTTCTATGATCAGCTGAAGTGTCAATCCCTGATGTATTTGTAGCTGGGAAGATGCCTTCTCACCATTTCTTACTGACACTTAAAATTAAGGTGGGACAATGAAAGCTAGGTGAAGTCAGAGAAGGTACATTATCAAACAAACCAATTAATTGAATTGTTTTCAGTAACAATATCAGTTACTGTAATGGAAATGAAGATTTCTGTTGAAAAGGCTGTCACCAATATTAATCTGGAAATGCTGCTTCTGCAACGAGCAAAGTTAAAGGTGAAGTAGCTGAAGAGACTGGGGGGAAAAAAAACCTCTCTGATATGTTTGTTCATTTAGTAGCACTGTTCTCTGGTCTCACAGGTTGGAATTTTGGTTGGGTTTCCTGGCACAAGCTGTCACATAAAGTTACTCTTACATCTTCCTTTTTTTGCTAGATTATTGAAAAATGGTGCAGCATCATTAAAACGGAATGGTTGTCAGGAAGGCTTGTGTGCAAAGAGGGTTAGGTGACTTTGACCTGTTTGTGACATTGCTAATCAGTTCACTGAGAAGTTTCTTCCCAAATTAGCAAAAGAAATGTATTGAGACACTTAGGTAAAGAATAAAAAAAAAATCAGTGGAAATTGTCATTGTCAGAAAACTAACTTCACTGAAGGTGACTTCAATAAGGGCAGTTTGATTTAAAATTAAAAATGTCCTTAAAAGTATTTAATGTTATGAATGGCATATCAAATTTGCATGTGTTGCAGTAAAAGTCTAGTTTCACGATTGGTGTGTATGCCAGAAGAAGGACAGCCTACTTCTGGTGAAATTGAAATTAGTATTAGAGAATTAGGTCTGGTTTTGTTTGGGCCAGTTCCGTACTCTGGCTCACTACCAGCTGCACAAGTGCTAGTAGAAGCATGAGAAAGACAGTGGCGTGAAGAGTCTGTGTGATGCCAGATTCAAACCATGTTGAGGCTGAGGTTGTGTGTTTGTTTTGCATAATTCATTGTTGGGTGTAGAGGGAAAGGCTTGAAGGTAAGCTGGACATTTTATTTCTGGGTTCCTCTGAACTGTAGTGCATACAACATTCAGAATTAAGAGTAATGTCAATTTTCTCAAGCTTGAAAAAGAATTTCTAACAGGAAGAAAAGTCTTGCTATACCATTATTTTGATCTCTTATAACATGTGAATTTGGGCCAAATTTGACCAAAAAGCCTAATTACCCATACTGTGGTATTCAAAGTTAAAACATGCTGCTGACTAAGTAGCCTGATAAGAGTTGTATAATCTAGAGTGCCTTGACCTATAAAGCTTGTAGAGTAATTGAATGCTCATTTAATGCCAGGAATTACAAAGGAATGATAATGTATTTCGGTCACTGAAGAAGTTAATAGTTATTTGGAGGGGGTGTCAGTCCTGATTGTTAGGTAGGCTTTGCTGGTAACAACAACAACAAAAACTACAACAGCACCACCCCATCCTATGCTGTGGGAAGGGAGGTGGTGATGTTGGTTGTTCTTCCACTTTCCTTTATTCTGCTGTATGTAGGTATTTTTAAAGCAATATCAATTCAGAGATAGACTTTTAAGACAATATTTGATAATGGTGTGATTTTTATAAATTTTAGCTACAAAATCCGTATTTTGGATGTCAAGTGCCAGTTTTACAACTACAGAGCTGCTTTGCCTCTTCTTTTGCAAAAGTATTCACGTGATTTGAGAGGATCTTTGGAAGATGGTCTTTAAAGTTCTGGGGTTTTTTTTTGGGGGGGGAGCATGGGGGTTTTTTTAACTAAACATAGCTTCTTGATTATAACTGTTTAAAGAACTAGTAAATTCACGATGATCCAAGAAAATATAAATATCAGAGAATGTAATTACACTTCTTGTGAGGCTTTAGGCAACTCTAAATGAATGTAATTTAAACTACTAAACAGGCTTCTATTTTAATTTATGTATTTTATTTTAAAGGATAAGAATTTTAAAAGGTTAAAAAAAGTTTAAACAGATGAAAAAATGCTTCAAATCTGTGTATGTTCCAATCCAGGTAAAGTTTGTGTTAAATGAACTTGTGACAAAATTCAATTTAATTTTTTACAGTCTCTGTACACTAACTGTGTGAGAAAACTAATTGGGTAAGTATGAGGCACTTAACCTTAACATCTAACGTAGTAATGTGTGTTTTAACCTCCTTCTGGTTTCAGAGAAAATGGTAAATACGTTATTGTTTTTTAAATTGCTGTTTGATTATAGTTTTGTGAGGGGAACATCAGCTGACATGACGTTTATTTCTGTTAAAATTACTAGTTCCCTGTTTGCATTATTTTCAGTGATCTTTGTTCTGCATGCTGTCAAACCCGATAATTTCTCTTTCTCGCTTTAGGGTGATTTGAATTGGGTACATCACTCAACCCCAAATGGAAAATTGCAAACAAAGTTACCAAAGAAAAATACTCTTTCACCTGAGAAAAGCAGGCACAGCTTAGCAACAAAGAACTACGAGCAGCCTACAATAGCTTCTAAATCACGTTCTCCATCTCCATACACAAAACGACGAATGTGTGAGCTATCAGAAGAAGCCAGGCAACGACTGGCCCATTTAAACCTTGGTCCTTATGAATTCAGAAGAGAAACTGATAAACCTCCATTTGTAGTTAGACGGGTTTGTATTCTCTCCAAAGTGCTTCCAGCTTAAGCTCAGATCAAATATTGTTCTTTCACTAAATACTGCTCCAAAAATTCATTCAGCTCTTAGTTTAGGTGAATAATTTTTCTCTCCTTAACAGTCTGTCACATAGTGATTTAAATCTAGAATTAACTGAAATAAAATTTCTTTTATCCGTGTTAGTAACAGACAAAGATCAAATTCTTTCATGAATATATTGGTTAAATTCTCTGAGGCCTCATTTCTTTTCTTCCAGCACACTAGACAGGATAATAGGTGTATAAATTCAGCTTGGAAGTAATTGATATTAGTATTAAAAATTTCTGAATAAAACTTGTCTAGTCACATTATGAACACTTACACTTCCTCTCAACTTTTTTTATGTTGGCATCCTATGATCTTTGAAACACTTCCTTTGCTCAGAGCTACATCTCTAACACTTTGACTTAAAGTTCATAACCAACCTGACTTTAGCACCCGCATAAGGACTTTTTGCTAACCATACTGTGAAAAATTGTTCTGAAATTAGGTCCTTATTTAAAGAAACTGTGTTTAAGTGCTTTAATATGAAGGGGCCGGATTTCCTAGCCTCTTGGAGAATCATATTTTTATATTTTTTTTCCTCTTTATTTTTCTTATGATTGCAACAATCCTTTATTTTTAGAATACCACTTTGAACACGTAGGGGCAGAGATGGGATTGTTCTGATTCTGTGCTATGGCATTATGATTTGGCTACAATTCTGGACACTTGTCACAGCCATTGAAATAATTTAGTGTTTAATTAGTTTGCTTCTGACTTTATTTTTTTTTCTAGTTTATGTACAAATGAATTAATAATATCTTGTAAAATTTTAGAATTCTTTTCCAAGTTTTATTCTACGTATAGGAACCTTTTAGAAATTCAGATTAGCCTTAATAAGCCATTAATCGTTCATAAACCTGCTGTTTATATCTCTCTCAGATATTTTTCTTTTAACTCCTTTTAGTCAATTCTTCTGTTTTTTGATCTATAGGTGAAGTTCACAGCTTAATTATAGCATCTTTAAACACTGATTATTGATTTTGATTACTTGGTTATGTTTGCACAAAAAAGGAAAAAGCTTGTCTCTTAATGTACCGTATCCTGACTGTCATGGCCTTTCTAGATTGAGAATGCTCCTTTTAGGGCATCTTTACTGCTGAGGACTCTTTTGGCCTGGAGATTTTGTGTTACATGAAGATTAAAGTTAGATTATGTTAAATGTAACTTTTTTAATTAGGAAGAGATTCAGATCTCTCTTGGTGAGACCTGAACTGTTTGGAGTAAGTATGAGATATCAAGAATTGTTTAAAAAGACAGCAGACATTATAGATGAAGAAGAAACTGTCTGCAATTTTTTTTTCTTTGAACAATATGGTATTCAGAGTTTTCTAGACCTTTGTAGTACTGTTTTTGTTTATGCACAGTAATGCTAATAATACACATAATATGAACAAAGTGTTGTGAAAATAGCTTTAAATAGCATTTAAATAAGAATAAAATATTTCAGAATGGACTAGATGTGGTCTTATGAACGAAAACAGGAAAAAAATAGAAACTTATACATCTGATACTGAGCATTTTAACAGTGCATTTGCTTCAGGTTGAACAACCAAGTCCTGGTATTAAGTTTCATACCTGGTGTCCCACACGAGAAAGCACAGTGGAAGCCTGGACCAAGGTAGACCATGGTCAGTATTTTCTACTATATATCTCATTAATGCTTTTGTTTTCTGCATTAGTTTAGTAAGGTTATTTTGTTTTGGGGTTTTTGTTTTGTTTTTTTATTTATTAAAAAAAAGTCAGTCTATAATGGAGAAAAAGCTGTTCTTTCTTCCTAGGAATAGGACGAATACTGAATAAGCTACTGCTGCAAAAGGTGCTTTTGAATAGTTCTTTACCTCATGAAACTTGGAACATAGTTCTACATGATATGAAAGTAGGAGTAGAAAATACCAAAGAGCAGGCGAGTGCTCCGTTTCACTTGTTTTGATGAGTTGGATAGTGGAGCAAATCTGCACCACAGTCTGTGGGTGTGTTGATCAAGCTCAGAGTATTGATCATTTTGAAGTTCAAGGGCTCTGTTTCTTCAAAAATGAATAATGTTTATTTCAGTAGTATTTGTGAGTAGTGGGTCAGTGACTTACCATTATCAATGAGCATCCAGGATGTGCTCGAATATCTGCTTTGTTATGAGAGTTTATTAAAAGATGTGGGACCAGAAATTTAAGGAAGTACCCTAAAACTTGATTTTATTGTATGTGTCTGGCAATATGAGGATTTTAATGAGTCTCATCAGTATATGTTTGTTATGTGTGCTCTGCCTCATTTTTATTGTGCCTCCTCGCTAATTATAAATTGTTAAATAGCAAATCATTATGAACTTGTTATTTTACATTTGTTCTTTGTAGTAGCACTGGGTGCAGGATTTTAAAGGTTTCGCATTCCCTTTGGGGTCATACTTACCAATCTGTAGCAGCTGGATAATGTAACAGACCTGTTATCACCTGGTATCATTGCATACTTACGAAATGAGCTGATGGTTTCTGGCCAGTGGCTAGGAGACTGAAATCTACCTCACTATTAATATCCAGAGGAGTCACTGGTCACCTGCCTGTGTCTTCAGGCTTAACTGTAACTTCTGAAAAAAACAGATTCCTAGGATTAGAAATCTTAGTACTGACAGTACAGTTTAGTCCTTTTTTGCTTTTGTGGAGGTAGCTAATAGAGGAGTGTCTTTACATCGCTGTACAGCATAGAAGTACCTCTTTGGGCTTGGGTCACAGTATGAGGGTTGTTCAGTACACACTGATAAAACCGATCAAGAAGCCACACAATTTAATGTCGGTCCCTCAGGGTTGAGGTGCGTATTGACATTGGATAAACATCCTAACCCGGTATGGACCTAGTAGTTTCCATGGGCTTCGTACTCGTGTTTGTGGGTCAGTGGTGAGGGAAGGAATGAAGAGGTGATAGAAGGAAGGAGAGGTGGTCATTGGGAAGCTTGTTCAGAAAAGATTAGTAAGGTAGTGTAATGTACGTAAGGATTTTTGGGAATGGTAGAGCTTGATTTAGGCAATTAATAGCTTAAAAAAATGTGCCACTTCTGTCTATGCAGAAGATGGTGGTTACACTGATTCATTATTATAAACATTGTATTCCATTAAATGTGAAGTCATTGTTTTCAGCTAAAGAAAGTGATTTCCTGAAATATTCTGAGGGGACTGTTTAGAATTTCACAATGTATAATAATAAATTGCTTTAGTACTGTTTGGGAGGAGAGGTAAGCTATTTTGTAAAAGATTTCATAAAATTTAGGACATTCAGATTTTCTTTTGGATTTCTTCTGCGATGCACCTTTTTTCTTTCTCCAGATCCTTCTCTTCTCGGCAGCTACAGACCCAAGAAAGCCAAAGTGAGTACTTTGAAGTGCTATTGTTTACAAATTGTTTTTTGGGAAGGTCTGAGTGAGAAGGATTGTCTTGTGTAGGTATTTTTGAAACTTTATCTACTATAGTATCAAAAGCCAAAAAAGGGACGTTTTAAATCTTATCTAACCCAGTTTAGGCCGGCTGACAGATTATTTACAAATAGAAATGTGAAACTGAACACTCTATAAGATATTCATGCCTGTAGGTACAGAACTTGCTTCTCCTTGGCATTAAGGCTTGTGACAAGGCTGTAGAAGAGCCTTTAAAGGCAGTTTGCATTTGCCTTTCCAGTCATTCTGAGAGCACACTTCATTCCAGAATTGTATGCAAAGGTAGCACTGGTACAACTGGCAAGCCACTGTTCTGTTATTTCACATCCTTGCTTTTTCAGATTTTAGCTGCTTTGTGTGTTAAATGGATCTGAAGATTAATGTCAGGGTTCCTTTGTTTTTTAGTGTTTTTTATTCTTTCCATCCTCATTTAGTTGTTTTTGCCTATGTTCCTGAAGTACTACAGGAATTGTGGATTTAGGATTTAATTATGTATGCCCTCTTAGATTTCCTAATGGCTGGGAAAACTGATGATAATGAGGAGGAGGAAAGAAGGGGAATTAAAAGGATAAACCTTGATGTATGTTAAGCACACTTTTGTCAGATTCTAAACTTTTAATACCAAGAATTGCAGTTTTGCGTACCATGTGAGTCTAATATATTGTGCCACTTCTGGATTGTTCCGTGGCTGTAAATGAGAAACTGTAAAGAAAATAGAGAATTTCTACTAAATATGCTAAATATGTCATTGTTTTTTTAGTGATGGCTATTTTAAGGTTGTGTTGTCCCCCCCATCCCTCTGCCCCGCAATGGGAAAGTAGATTTTAGGAGCAGTCAGTGTTTGGAGAATGCAGATAGCTGAGCTACAGGTTAATTCATCACAAAATTCTCACAAAATCAGGGCTGAAGAGAATGTATCTTTTTCTTGCCTGAAATATAAAATAGCTTTGTTTAAGAGGAGCTGTTTCCCAAAGCTGAGGGAAAAAACCCTGCAGCCTGGAAAGCACTAATGAATAACTTGATTTTTTTGGTCTGGTTTTGTTGTGGTTTTTTTGGTTTTTTTCCTCAGCTTTGGGAAACAGCTCCTGTAAAAGTCCCCATTCCAGGTAAAAGGGGGTAACTCGTGGAGACATTTTAGTGGTATGTTTCAGGTTAAGAGGAACTATGAAGGAGAGTAACTAGTATAGTGAAGAGTGAGTAGAAGGTGAGTAAATGGGCCTGAGTTTTCCCTTGAGGAACAGCAAATAATGAGGGGGAAAAAAGTCTAAGAACAAAGTTTCCCACACTGAGAAGTCTGAGGTTTGTGTTGTTCAGACTCTCAGGCATCATTCGAATCTGTGGGATTCCTGGGAGGGGTAAGCCTTAGATTGTGCAGTCAGAAAAGGTGATAAGAGGCCTGTTACACTAGACTTTGCCATAAGATAGTGTGTTAGATACCAACAGAGTCCTCTGACACTTGTTGATTTCATTTAAACCAGGGCTTGCTCTGTGGAATGAGGGTCCTTGTTCTTTCCTCAGCAGGCAGATATTCCTGCATGTATGTGCAACCTTTAACCTTTTGGTTTGAAAAATAAACACATGAAAACTGTGCATCTTGATATTTGTAATAAATTTTAGCAAGGTTTGGTGGGTTTTTTTACAGGCAAAATCTACTCATGGAAAAGACTTTGACAGTTCTGATGTTTGCCAGGAGGATGTGGTCTCAGATCCAGCCAACAGACAGTCCCATTCTGGTTCATTAAAGCATTCAGCACCTCGAGCATTTCAGAAGCGTTCTCTAAGTTCTGTGCTAAATCGATCTTCTCTAAGGGAAAGGTAATGACTTGGTTTTGTTTGTGAAATTCTGGAATTATTAACGTGAGCAGATGATAACAGTACTTGCGTAACTATAGTACTTGCATAACTTGCGGGACAACCAGGGGATCAGGCC